ACGTTAAACTAAGCGGAACGTTTAATGTCTATATTGTGACGTCATAGATAAAATACTGCAATGATGATGAAAAAGTTCGGGAAAATCATAGGTAGTTTATAAGAGACTATTAAGTTTTGGCTTTAGAATACAAATAAAATGTTTTTCTTTTTCCCGTCTCTGGATATCACTGGCACATCTGAGTTTATAAAAAGGGAAAATGTTAAATCGTTTTTTTCCACAAGTTTCCAGGTGTGCACTTAACTGGATTTGTCTATATTCAGGTGTACTGATGTGTTGCTTATGTACACGTACACGGGCACGGAGACTGTTGCCAGTTTCACCAATATAATATTCTTTGCATCCAGGACATATGATGGCGTATATGACATCTTTCGTATCACATGACATGTTGGCATTAACTTTAAATTCACGTCCGTTAAAACTATAACTCGTCCCTTCTGTAATGTAGTCACATGTGCCGCAGCGAGGGTCCGTACACTTTGACACTGTATAATTATGGTCAGCGAATTGGGAGGAACAAAGTATTCTCTTAAGGTTTTTAGGCTGACGTTTACTGCTGATAAAACGACAGTTTTTGTATGTAGTTTTCGTTTGTTCATCCTCTCTAAGTAAGCTATTTAATTCATAAACAATTGAATTGATGTTTTTATTTCTCGGATTGTACGTGTGAACAAAGGGTATAGTTTCTCCGTCCTTCGCACGTCGTGTGTTTGAAAGTAATTGTGTTCTATCACACTCCTTGGCTTTCATAATACTATTATCTACCAGTTGCTCTGGGTATTTTTGGCTCAATAAATACAATTTTAATTCCTCCAAACGGATATCCCTCGTATTAATATTGCTCACAATGGTACAGATCCTTCTTGCGAGATTATATGGTATAGCCGTTTTAGTATGGTGGGGATGGCACGATCCGAAATGCAGATATTGGTGTGTATCTGTCGGCTTATAGTATATATCCGTATTTAACCTGGTATTATCTTTTGATATAAGAACATCGAGAAATGGCATTTGCGTATCATCTGTTTCCATCGTGAATTTGATATCCGAGTTCATTTGGTTTATTAGATCGTAAAACTCCGATAATTTGTCGACATCATCATCCCATAAGATAAAACAGTCGTCTAAAAATCTTTTCCATTTAGACTGTATATTATTTGCAGATTCTATTCCCCACAACGAACATAATTGTTCATGTAACTTATGTTCTAAATAACCTAAGGTTAATGTTGCATAGGTAGGTGCGACTTTCGTCCCCATTGCAGTTCCCTTAGTTTGAAGGTAATGATGGTCAGAAAAAGCAAATGAATTGTTTTCTAGAACTAATTTAAGTGCTTCTAAAATAAAATTCTGTTGGAATCTGTCATTTAGTATATCGGGATAACTTTCCATCCAAAATTTTACAGCTTCCAATCCTAATTCTGTAGGAATATTAGTATATAAACTAACGACATCAAAAGTGACAAGTTTTGTGTTACAGGTGATCTGAGTAGGTAAATGATTTATGAAATCCAGATCGTCTCTTACAAAGCTGGGTACTTTTTGACAATATGGTTTTAAAAGTATATCCAATAAGTGACTCAGTCTTTGTGTTGATGAGTTTGGTCCTCCTACAATGGGTCTGAAGCATAAATCACCTGGATCTAGACACTTAATACATACACTATTTTGATTTGCTATGGCGTCCTTAATAATTTTAGACTTGTGAACTTTAGGTAAACCATAGAATTGGCTCTCTCGGAATTCAAAGTTTGTCAGGTAGTCCTGTTCTTTATCTGTTAAACCTTCCGATAGTGGTCCATATACCAGCTTTTTTATTTTAGTAATTGTTTTCTTCTCATGACAATTGTGCAGTCTTTCATAAAAGTTGTTGTCTTGTAACATTTGTAAGATTTTATTTTTGTAAAAATCCTTATTCATTAACACAACTCCACCTCCTTTATCAGCCTCTTTAATAATGATAGTAGGGTCATCGCATAGGCTTTTAAGAGCTTTTTCCTCTTCCTTAGAAAGGTTGGGTTTGATATTTCTGGGTTTGTTTGGAAAATGAATATTTTCTAATGTGTCGCAAACGGCATCCAAAGTTCGATTTCTTCCTCGTTTTGGATTAAACTTAGATTTGTTTCTTACCAGGTCTATTTGTTCTGCTTCTTGAGACTCGGAATCAGATTCATTGGTATCACTTTCATGAAAATATTCATATAGCCTGAGTCGTCGAGTATAGGCTTTAATATCCGTTTTAAGCTCTTGATTATTTACATGAGGTGTAGGGGTGTATTTAAGACCCTTAGACAGTAATTTGATTTCGGAATCCGTCAGATGTCTGTCGGAAAGATTAAATACTTTTGGTTCTATTTTAATTACATTCCTGGGTGCATCCCTGGAATTGTTGTTGTTAACAATTGTGGTAATTGGTTCTTGTATCTTTGGCCTTGGTTCATTTTGCCTCCTCCTAAAAAATAATTGCGTACCCCTCTTCCAATATACGTAGTTCTTTCGTTTCTGTAAAAGTTTGGTGGACGCCTACTTCTAACGTATCCTCGGTAATTTTCATTTTGTCTGTTGTTGCCCTGATTCCGTCTTTTTATGCCTTTGTGGTACTTAGGAATCTGTTGATTTTGTGGAAAAGTACTACGAGAAGATTTACTTCTGGATTCAGAATTCTCGTATTGATTCTTATTTGCGGTTTTTCGTTTTCCCGAAAATGATTTTATTCCTTTAGAAAACGATGGTTCAGGCGCATTTTCCGTAGGGAAATCCCCTGTAACTGTAGGATTATTTGCAGAACTGGTTCTTACGGCGGACGCGTAACTTTTCCTAGAAGTTTGTCTTTTATGCAATGACTGTAGTCTTGGTGTATTTTGTTTAATAACTTCTTTACCATAATTCACACGTACAATCCGAGAAATAAAAACATCAATTCAATTGTTTATGAATTAAATAGCTTACTTAGAGAGGATGAACAAACGAAAACTACATACAAAAACTGTCGTTTTATCAGCAGTAAACGTCAGCCTAAAAACCTTAAGAGAATACTTTGTTCCTCCCAATTCGCTGACCATAATTATACAGTGTCAAAGTGTACGGACCCTCGCTGCGGCACATGTGACTACATTACAGAAGGGACGAGTTATAGTTTTAACGGACGTGAATTTAAAGTTAATGCCAACATGTCATGTGATACGAAAGATGTCATATACGCCATCATATGTCCTGGATGCAAAGAATATTATATTGGTGAAACTGGCAACAGTCTCCGTGCCCGTGTACGTGTACATAAGCAACACATCAGTACACCTGAATATAGACAAATCCAGTTAAGTGCACACCTGGAAACTTGTGGAAAAAAACGATTTAACATTTTCCCTTTTTATAAACTCAGATGTGCCAGTGATATCCAGAGACGGGAAAAAGAAAAACATTTTATTTGTATTCTAAAGCCAAAACTTAATAGTCTCTTATAAACTACCTATGATTTTCCCGAACTTTTTCATCATCATTGCAGTATTTTATCTATGACGTCACAATATAGACATTAAACGTTCCGCTTAGTTTAACGTCATAATCATTGTTACTATGTTACCGTTGTATACATTTTTGTAATGTAAAGCTTCTGAAGATTTTTAATGAAAGCGCTAAAGCTTTACGGAGGATTCTTGTGTTTTCTTTTTATATTTGTTTAATATATATATATATATATATATATGTATTAGATTCACGTTAGTATTGTAGTCCATGGGTCTTAGATCTTTAAAACACAAGCAAACATGATAAAGTTTCGAGATTTGAACATTCTTAGAGACAAACTACTAGCATTTCCGAGTTAAAAATAACACACATAAATTCTGGAAATTTGATGAAATTGCGATCCTCAATAGAAAATATGCTACTGTAACACGTGTATTTATGTATGGACTTATCCGAGTAGACCATGTCGATATCAAAATAATACAGAAAAAGTTAATCAATGAAAAATATTAATACTTCCCCCGCTTATCAAAAATCCACGGGATCATTTTATCTCCAGGGATATTTTTGTCGATGAATCTTTTTCTGGCGATGACTAACACTTTGCCCTGGTTATAAGGGAAAATCAATGATTGCTTTATATAATATTACTCATAATAAATAATTTCTAGATCACTGTTGACATTTTATGTTAAATCAATAGAGAAAAGTAAATCGATGGCGTAACACGTGATTGCCTCGTCGGGATAATGAAATTTACTCACATACAGCGGTCATTTTGAAAGTGAGATACGATGTCATATTGTAAACTTTAAATTCTGGGTGGAGATAAATTTACACCAGTAATTCAGAATTTACAACATGCAGACAGCAGATAAAATGGGGGTATATCTATATATTAATGAATTGTATGTCAAAATTAAAAACTTTCTAAATATAGGAACAACCTGCATTCATTGCGACAATTGGATATAAGATAATGCTTTTTAGAACCACTTAAAATAAAATCTAGAGAAATTTCAAGAGCTCTAAAATTACATTATCTTCACACTTCATTAGCAGCTGCTCAAAATATCTTGCCTCCTGCTTAGAAGCAATTTAAGCTTTTTCCTCGCCACATATTTCGTATATTTATTGACGGACAAGTTAGAATTTCCTTAAAATAGTGTTGTAAATTTGTAGAAAATGTCCGTTATTAAACTTGTCCACACGATGATATCATAAGATATTGTAACAAATTACTTGCCTGCTGAAAAGAAATATAATTCTGACATTTTTTTTACATACACTCGGTAAAATTTAACATAATGTATAGTGTGAAAGCAAGACTAGGTGAAGATACACGGGTGAAATATAGTAATATAATACTATAAACCTTTACTTTAAATGTTCAGCGAGGCGACAATTTTCATGTTTGGTTTGAAAGGGGTTTTAAAGCCATTGACATATAAAAAAATGTCTACAGTAATGAAATTGTCAATAAAAAAAAAACTTTAGCAGAATATAAATTATAAGTTCTAATTGTCTAGGTTACAGAAGATTTGAAAGTGTTTTTGAAGTCCCGCCTGAGTGCCCAATATGAAGGCAGTATAACTACCAAAGACCCATTCTCTCTGGGTCTAGACGTGGCCCAGATTCAGGTAAAAAATCTGACCTTTAGTTATCTCAAATTGCGTCTTATTTTTTGTCAACATTGAATGAGAGACGTGAATCGGATGGCGATGGGTATAAGATAACTCAATATAGAATAGGTTACAAAAATATTATGTAACCTGTAGATTTGTCATATGATGAAACATAAACAACGCTTCCCCAGTTAAGTTGACAAAAATGAGTTACAAAGAAGTATGGTGTACCAGCACAATCATGTACATTGTACGAAATATGTTTATATACATTGTACGATATATGCTTCTTTCGCACAGAAATCACAGTGTGATCGCATAAAAAATGCAGTAGCAGCTAATGTGGAATGTTAGCATTAGCATGCGCGGATCTAGAGGGGGGGGGGATTGAGGGGATGTGTCCGTTGGACCCCCCCCCCCCCTCCGGAATTGCGGAGTTACTGAAGCAAATAAAAAAAATCCTGGATCCGCGCCTGATTAGTATAATACATATGAATAATTTTACGCAGTTTTATAATTTAAATGTTTATGTGAAGTTTGAGAAAACGGGTGTCCTTTAAACGTTGAAAACGAAGCAATGAATTAATTTTAAATCGAAAATATTTAATGTAAAAGGCATCCAATCAAAGAAAAATCACCATGTCCTTTCTTTCTTACAATAGCTCTTCATAAACAAGTACTACCATTCTTCTTGATGAATTATCCACCAGACCGCAAAGATACCACAACTGTATAAGTAAATAATAGATAATTCCTTGGTGGGAAGGAGGACGCAAAGTATCAGATTTTTTGGTTCCACACCGTGTAATAATATGTAGGGGGAGGGTTAAACCATGTTCTTATTTTTGAATTTAGTTTGTAATGTGTAAATGGAAAAAAAATGACAAGTTGTATGTAGTTGTCATGTATATTTTTCTTGTATGTAGTATACCCAGCCAGGTAAATTGAAAAAATATATACCGTAGTACATAGATAATCATATGTGACCATTTTCAGTCAGACATGAAATATTCAACTACAACAGATTTTCTTATTAACTTGTGAACCCAGGTATTTAATGAGGACTAGACGCATAAAAAAAGGACAACAAATCTGTTAAAACAGTCTACTTATATGAGTCACATCTTTCGGAGGAGCACGCTTTCTATACTGTGGACGTGCAGTAACGCAGTGACCAGTAGCTGTTCAGGAATTCAAAAAGCAACAATCTTAACACAATTTCATTGATTAGATGATAAAATTACTGCTCTAACACTGTTAATTAAAACAGCAGAGGCGTATTGAATGGAGAAAACTTGCTGAGTTGATCAGATCTTGAGAGCTGTGGACGCCTTATCGCGCCAACTAGTGTCATTGTCTTTATTGCACAATCGGTCCCGTCCTCCTTAATTTCGCAATTAACATTGTTGTGTAACCCATTTCATATCATTGGCGCAGTATATACCATTATTTCAGTCTTTCAAATTAATTTTGGCAATGTTATGAAACAAACCATGGTACACAGTTAATTTATTTATGAGTTGAATATTTTTTCTTCATTATACACGTGGAAGCAAATCATGGAAAATTAAAAGGTAATTTCGGATCCACATTTTAACAAAATTAATATCCAGTCTTAATATAAGATGCAGTCGAACTCTACGATGTATCAGTATATTTTCGCCTAAAAGAAAGTCGAACACCCCACCCCCACCTTCCATCGACAATAAGACAGTGCACACTCGTACTTCTTACATGCACCTCTTTCCAACTTTTCCTCCGGGCCCAACCTCAAAGTTTCTCATATAAACATTCCTTTATATGAAAAAGTGCTACGTTGCAGATTAATAAGATTTTTTACTTTAATCTTGTTATCAAATGCTATTTAAAAGGTTCTTTATTTCAGTTTGAATGCTGTGGTATTGACAACTACATGGACTTCCTGTCTGCTACAAAATGGCAGGACACGAAAAACGCCTCCACCATAATCCCACTCACGTGTTGCAGATTTGCTAACAAGGGCGCTTACTACACGGATTACCAAGGTCTCATTCTAAAGGACCCCTCCTGTGAAACGTCTCCCTCGGACCAGAATTCAAACTTCAGAAAGGCAAGCAAGCTGTTGTAGTTAAAAGTTGCTGATTTTAAAATTAATGTGAAAAACTTTTTTTTATTCGCAACCATGTAATTTCACGTTATAATTGGCGATACTGATTGCTCGCGAAAAATTATTGTCGCGTATGTTGTGTCATAAATGATTATGTACAACATAGTATTATGTACATCAGTATCCGAAATTTCTAAAAGATTTTTCTCGCCTATCTTCGGTACTACGATTTCCAATTAAGGACATACGCAACGCTGTTTTGAGCTTTATTTCACTATTCCTTGTTTAATTGAAGAGTTCAAATAATTCTAGGACCCTTATGCGACTTTAATTATGTCTAATGAAGATGTACATACCTCTTCTATTATAAATTTGAGGAAGTATCAGCCAAAACTATATATGTTTGGTAATTTTTCTTTGAATAACACAAGGATTTTTATCATCTGATTTCTAATCAAACCCCTAGTGATGTATGCTGATTTTTTGTCTGAGAACATCTGATGGTACATGGGATTTTAAAAATGAGAATATCTTGAAAAATTATCAATTGGTAAGGTTTGTTGTAAAATACATTGGTATGAACCTTAATGCCGTTTTCTTTTGCAGGGCTGTTGGGATGCCATTTTAGAGTATGCTAATGACAAAGCAATTTACGTTATAGCTATTGGAGTTGCTATTGGTGTCGTCGAGGTAACGAGATTTGTGACCTATGAAAAAGCTATTTCCTTAACAATTAATATAAAATAGCGAAGAAAAAATAATAATTTAAAACTTAATCACTATAAGTCGAATAGCGATCAAATTATTTTTGCTGAAACAAATAATACAAAAATGAGATTTACAAAGTACATGGTCATTTCCGTATGTTACCTTGATTTTGTCGTAAAAAACTGAAATAATTAATGTCCATTAAACCATTTGAAAGGTATGTTTACACACAAGATACTCTATCGTGACGTCATAAGATTTAAGAATGGAACCAAGTCAATGACACTTTAACCCCTCATTGACCAGAGGCATTATATTGCTTTATGTTCTATGTAAGGGTCTAATGTTGAACAAATGATATTGCTGTAAATAACTCTTGCAAGGTTCTTGTTTTGACCGAGTTTGTTTTTGTTGATTTCTGCTTTATAAAAGATGCAAAAATTTATTCTTCCCTTTTTTCTATACTCTATTTCTAGGTGCTATGCGTAGTGGTAGCTTCCTGTCTCATTCAAGCGATTCGGAAATCTGATGACGAATCTTCACAGTAACACGTGACAGGACCATTCGGAACATCCTGCCACTTGTGACGGGATCATTCAGAATACTAGTCACATATCTAGAGTTAAAAACACTTCCATTGGAGGTGAACCCCTCCCATCATCACCATTATTTATATGTAACATTTTAAATGTTGTAAATGTGCATTCTATTTTATAATGAATTATATATTCATTTTCATAAGATTATGTAAATTATGTTTACAATTAAAAATTTTATACCTTACATTACGTCCTTCATTTTTGCGACCTTGTCTTTCCTTCTCTGTTCCTTGTGAAGCTCAGTTTATGTAATAAATGTTTGATGAACAACTGTGTAAAATGAATTGTAGTAGAGAAACAGCTAAGAAATTAATTTAAAATAATTAAATCTAAGTATGTTGCATGTTTATAGTAATTTTTGCAAAAAATGTAACCAAAGAATAATTGCTGTCATAAGACACCCACATGTAAGAGTTTGCCTGCAATAGTACTCTCCTTCGTACCTGGGTTAGTGAAGAATCCACAATAGTTATTTTATGATGTACTTAATCATTATTAAAAAAAAAACAACTTTTTGATCTCCCATTGGGGTCCAGCCTACCCCGGGGATTCATGATTTCAACAAACTTAAATCTACACTACTTAAGGATGCTTTCATTTGACTAATCATGGCTTTGTTGTACTTGAGAACATTTTAAGATTATATATATATATATATATATATATATATATATATATATATATATATATATATATATATATATATATATATATATATATACAACAAGTTATCTAAGTTATACATTAGAATATTAATGAAATATCTTTAAAAATCTTCTCAAGAACAGCAAAGTTATGATTAGTCATGTTAAACAGAAGCATCCTCAGTGTAGATTCAAGTTTGTTCAAATCATGCCCCCTCAAGGGAGCACGTGTATACATAAGCTTTTCACTACCGAACTGATTTCTGCTTTTCTCTAGACAAAGTGCTCGGGTGAGCGATGTGGCCCATGAGACTCTTGTATAACTTATGGTATTTGATTTTTGTTTGTTTGTGTGCTGTACAATATAACCTAGATATTTGGAAGGGAGTCAAAATCTCCCGTAAGATATCGGTAACAGTGATAAAGAATTTATTATCGAAATACAATCATTCTCTTTAATTTTAAAAATAAATGAAATTTATTATATATTTGTTATATAATACAGGATTTTTGCATCCCTGATATGAACACAGACACGCGCCCTGTATTACACACCCTGTATCAGCACCCTTTATTTCATCCTTTATCACACCCTTTATTACTCCTTTCCGGAACATCTCCGTATTTTTCATCGGAGTACATCAGATATTTTATGTTATTCAAAATAATTATTTGTTTAATTTATAATTATTTCATTTCTTATCGCTGAATGCATTGCCTTTGGAAAAAAATAATGAGAAACGGAAATTCAACAAAAACAGAACACTTATTAAAATTCAGTAATTAATTTACAAGTTTATAAATGATTTTTAGACAATAATTTCAAATATATAATAAAAACAACAATACATGACAAAATTTGTATCACACCCCATATCAACCCTCGACCAGTATCAGCCCTTTGACCTTCGGCCCTCGGGCCGATATTGGAGTCTCGGGTTGATATGGGGTGAGATACCGATTTTGTCGTGTATTATTCTCTATATATACGTCGTAAATTAGACTTAGTTTATTTGTAGAATTTAAAACAAGGAGGTAATTTTGTAAAATTAAGAACCAAGTAAAAAATAAACAAACAACAAACCTTGTGTTTTTAGCTTAAAATTTTACCAGTACTATCATTACACAATTCCTCTGTTCTCCAAGTGTCGTACACGCTACCATAAACACTATGGAAACACTAGTATGATTATTTAAAGTTTCAATCGCTCTGAATGAAAAATCTATGTATGAGGAAGATATGAAGTGTTATTGATAAGAAACTCTGTAAGAGTGGAAACTGCGTAGGTTATACTGCCGAACACCCTCTTTATCAATAAGTACAGCAAACAAGATACTCTACGTGTATTCATTTGATTTTCAGACAGTCCTTTTATAAAGAACTGTGTGTTTGTAGGTAGGCTGGGGTTAATATAACCCAGGATTTTTTTATATACTGGAGAAACTTTTACTTTATGAAAAATAAACACATTATCGCCCTGTGCTTCTTGGGAGGAGGGGTACTGTCTTAAATCATTTTTAGGTTAGTTTCAATCTTTAAAGAAAAAACCGAAGATGCGAGGAGGACACAGACACCCCCCCCCCCCATTTCCTGCATTAAAACACTGTAAAATATAAGCAAAAGATTCTGGTGTGCTTAAAAGCATAATCATATGAACTGTTAAGAGTGTAAATTCTTTCAACTTTCAAACTTTAACATCCTTTTTTGTTTTGTCTAGGCTTTTCTCCTACAGTTGAAAAGATGATTTAATTGATATAGACAGAAATCTAGGCTTTTTGTTTAGTTTATTTTAATAATCAACCTCTAAAATTTACGCCTGTGTGCAGTTTTTTAAAACAATCTCTAAACACTTTCATTTATTCAGTAAAGCTAGGATTCAGTGAGGCATCGGGAATTTTCCTGATCTGTATACATAAATGTTTATTAAAAAAAACTTGGTTATCTTATCTACTGGGATAGTACTGCAAGGAGAAAACGACATATTTATCCAAGTGTAAGCATAACAACATTCCATTTTAACAGGTGAACAATAGACCCATTGACAATTTTATGAAAATGCCAAATCTTATAGTCTTTTTTTCTCTTTTACATCTATGTTTTTTAAATAAAACTTTAATCTTGAACCTATCAATTTTAAAGCTCAACACTATAACGTTCATTCGCACATTACACGGTTTTGAATTGAGCAAATGAAATTTGGTATTGATCAAATTCTTTAAAGATTGTCCACTGGAGCGATAATATAAATATTTCTGTGGCTTTTAGAAGCAAACAACCATTTAAAGCAATAGAGTTTCTTTTCTCTGGATTATTCAGTTTGTATGGAACCCCATTTTTGTCATTCTTATTCAGAAAGGGAAAAACAATTAATAAATATTACCAACGGAAAAACACTTCATTCCTAAGTTAGTTTTCAAATTCATATAGTCCACTCTTGGGTGGGGTAGGGGGGGGTGGTAACTTCCAAAAGAAATCTGACAAGCAAAAAAAAAAAAAAAAAAAAAAAAAAAAAAAACTAATGAACTGTTTAAATCCTAGAATTTGCCAGTGATTTGCCAGTGCTCGACTTACAGCAAAACAAAGTGGTGGTGGTGGTGGTGGTGGGGGGGGGGGGGGACTAGCATCTAAAGGAAAATTTACTATAGCAAAATACTATACTCAAAAAGTGTCCAGCCCCGCGTTCTACGGGCCTGATATATACTAAAAGGATGTGTAATGTTAGACTGCCAATCGCAATTCTCGGGCCTTTCTGACAAGTGGAAAAACAATCTCGAATGTGTTACTTAGGCGTCATTGACAAACACCCTTTAAAAAAAAATTGAAAAAATGTAAGGGGACATTTTATCTGTAGTATGGGGCTTTAACTAAAATATACTTCAGAAGACACACTCAGCTTTGTCTTTATCTAATACTTAAATAAATAGAAAGATACTACATTTTGTGTGAAACATTAACATCCAGTTATGTAATAACATTCGAGGCGTTTTTCAGAAAAAAAACCTATAAGGTCCCTCAATTATAAATAAATCTAATACTTTGTTTACAATTCTAAATGAAAATAACTTTTAA